TATTGCATGCTCAAGAGTAAGAAATCCAAAGAATTTTTTCTTCGCTGTTAAAATAAAAAACAAAATTACTTAAAGTTATTGTAAACCATGAAATTCTATAAAATTAAATTTAAAAAAATTAAACAGCGAATTAGGGTTTTTATCAAAGTATTTTTCCAAAGAAAGCAGCTTATTCAAATTTCAATTGATTCGTTTGCGAAATTGAACGAAACGTATAATTTGTAAATCTCGACAAAAAAGTTTCTTGTATCGTAAACGTTCACGTAAATGGTGCTTCAAACTTAATTGCCAGGAGTAGGTCGGCCTGTTTAAATTGTGGATTTTCAATACTCGATTTAACAGATTCTAGAAATGTTTTAACCATTTCATCCCAAGTACTAATGACAAGGACGAGAGTGGTTAGTAGGAGTGAAAAGGAATGTGAAAAATTCAGTGAGTAGAAGTGAGGAGAAAAAAAACAAGAAAAGAACAGGTTTCATGATGACAGATGACAACTGGCGTTGTATTTTAAAGATTAAAGGTAGCAGCGAAGTTAGAAATCGGAAAGGAAGACCACAGGAAAGAAAAAGAAAGTATTAGAATAGAACATACGGATGCATGTAGCTAGTTCAACAGTAAAACGGTGAGACCTAACTGCCAATCTAGTAGCACGTTTAAATTCATGTAGTCAAGTCACCAAAGAGGAACATTCATCAAAACAATTTCCCTAAACTTGTGTAAACGTGAAAAAAGAAAAATGGGAACCGTGAGAAAAGGATGCGCAAATGTGTGATAAGGAGTCGAAAATGTGAGAAGGAGGTGCAAATGGGAAAAGAAGAAGGCGCAAATGTGAGAAGAAAGAAGCGCAAATGTGAGATGAACGAAGCGCAAGCGTGAGAAGGATGTGCAAATATGAGAAGAATGAGGCTCAAAGGTGTGAAGAAGGAGGCGGAAATGTTACAAGAAGGAAGCGCAAACGTGTGAAAAGAAAGCGCAAATGTGAGAAGAGGGAAACGTAAACGCGAGCAGAAGGTGTCGCAAACGTGTTAAAAGAAGGCGCAAACGTGTGAAAAGGAGGCGCAAATGTGAGAAGAATGAGGCGCAAATGTGAGCAGAAGGAGGCGCAGAATGAAGCGCAAACTGAAGAATTCGTAATAATCATGATGTTGATCATCGTTATAATTAGTACGAAATGTTTATTTATATAAATTTATAACATTATTCATTCGTCTAAATATATTTCTTTACAATGAAAAGCTTTACCTGAAAACTAGAATCATGTTCTTAAATAGCCTCACCAGATCAAGACTTTCATATGGAAGTCATGAATGACGCTACCGAGATCAAAGTAATATCAAGTCTCAGCTGTATGCAACCGCTTTTGATCCATGATCAAAAATGGCTTCCAAACGAAGAAAGCCTGTAGGTCTTAGCGACAGCCGATTCTATGAAGCATTAAACATCTATTATTATTATTATTATTATTATTATTATTAATAATAATAATAATAATAATATTAATTTTAGCTCGCGTTTATATTCCTCTTAATTTTTATTAGATGAAGCATTCAATAAAATATTATGAATACAGGCAAAAGGAATTTCTACTTCTGCCATGGGAATTTGATTGATGCCCTGAGGGTGGCGTTGTATTCATTATATGTTATTAGATGATGAAAAAACACTATTATTAATTTTTGACTTGTATTTACTTTTGTCTTCATTTGGTATTTATAGAAACATTTTCAACTATTATCATTAATTAGTAGTAGCCGTGTAAATTTGACGCTTATGCTATTTAAATTGTTTCATTAATCCTAACTGAGTCAGATCAATTACCTTTAGGAATCCCGTGTTGTAAAGTTGGATGAACGAGCGGTATAATGCATAATGGTTCGGAACTGTTAATCGGAGATCAGAGTTCAAATTCCAGTTGAATACGTTATATTCACTTAGGCGCAGATACCCTTGGGAAAGGTCCGAATCCACCTCTTCTCCCCCAGCTTTGGGTTAATTAATAAGTCTTATATCACTAATAACATTATAAGCCTCCCCACCCACACACAAAGTATAAAATAGAATTACGTCCAAAATATTTAGATTGTGGCATTAAATAACCCATATATCGTTTGATATTAATTTCTATTCAACCGACAGGATATTTCTGTTTAATTATTTTTATTCTATTCTTCGAATTCTAGAGTTAAAACTGTAAATAAAATGTCTAAAGTTTGTTTTTGTTCTTTCGATCGTAGCAGTTATTATAAAGAATTACATGATGTCAGTATCGAAGACAAAGATTTTGTTACTTACAGCCTGGCACTATTTCTTTTCTATTTTGAACATTACATTTCAAATTTAAATACAATTATTTTGAAACTAAAAAATTAGTAAATTTAATAATAAATAAAAAAAATAACTAAATAAACAGGTATACTTTTTCAGATGAATTTAATAAAACTTGATTAAATGAATTATTCCTGTCTAAATATACATACCCCTGATGAGTGGATGGTGTAATTGCTGATTGCTGTAGGGTACATCTACGAAACTCTGGAGTCGAGATGCTGAAGGTAACACCAATCAGCTAAGTGAAAAAACTTTATATTGTATTAATTCTCTCTCTTTCTTATATATATATATATATATATATATATATATATATATATATATATATATATATATATATATATATATACCACGGCTGAAAAGTTTGAAGCCACCTCAGAATTAGCATGGGATAAACTTGCCAGAAGAGTGAAAAAAATAAAATAAAATAAAAAGAGCTCTTATAGTCATTGAAAAAAAATGGAATCAATTATCAAACTTATATTTAGAGAAAATTTTACAACGAATGCCAAAGCTTTGTACTGCAGTAATCAAAGCTAAAGGATGATATTTTGACGAGAGCAAAATTATCATAATAAATTTTCTCATAAAAAGTCTCATTTTTTAACCATATATAATAATTTTCTCTTATTTAAAGTACAAAACAACTACTTTTTGGACCAATTTAAAAAAAAAAATTACTGGGATTGGCATCAAATTTTTTAACTGAAAGGTTTGAAAAAGTCATAACTTATTCGTTTTCAAACCATTTCTTTTCTTTCTTTTCCGGTTATAAAGCATCCCTTGGAGATTAAAATGGCTACGTATATATATATATATATATATATATATATATATATATATATATAGTGCTGGTGTTAATAAAACATTGCTCAATGTAATACAACAGTGCTATTAAGTATATATTAATAAACTAACCAAATTACCAGCGCCTTGCTGCGTGTCGCACATTTTTTGTAAGAAAATGATGATTGAATTTAAATCATTGTAATAATTTGTGAAGAAAAACATGCATTTCAATATTACTCAATGATCTTGCTGATGTGACCTTCATCTTCGGGTTTTCTCCTTTTATATTTTGGATAGGCGTCATTTCCTTGTTCAAATTTTAATTTAATTTATATCAAAGAAAAAAAATTCAGTGGGCGTTGGGGCTGAATGAAAATTGTATATACTTATCCTAGTATCCTGGGTAATGTAGTTTCAGAATATATATGTTTATGGGGTGGTATCAGCAAAACCCTAGGTGGAGTTCGATGGACTGATGAGCAAATTTTAACATTGATATGACAGTTGTATTTTGACCATAAATATATATTGTAAGACACTACCCACTGATTGGTGATTTCTTGCTCAATTTGATATATATATTATTTCATTTTGATCTTGCCAATGTGATCTCCATATTCTGGCTTTCTCCCTCTATATTTTGGATAGGATTCATTCCCTTGTTCAAATTTAGATTTAATTTAAATCAAAGAGAAAAAGATTTTCATTTGGAGGATTGTGAGCCTCGAGACCCCCTTTGATCAAAACGAAATATATTTATCCAATGTAGTTTCAGAATATATATGGTAATAGGGGTCTATCTCCAAAACCCTAGGAGAAGTTCGATAACAAATAAACAGACAGTGGCTACAACTTTATATATATAGAGATATACATGTTATCTCTCACCGATAGCACGACTCAGAGTTTAATGCACAACGCAATTTTCAGGTGGTGAGTATAGACTGGCCGTTATGCAATTTAAATTTTCAAATATATATATCTGGTTAACGCAATGTTGGCGCAGTTATATATTATACGGCAATTACAATTTTTTAATAGTTATATATATATATATATATATATATAAAGAAATTTTTGTTTATACATTCTTTTTATAGATACAAATATTTAAGTAAATGCTCTGTTTATAATAAACAGTATTAACAACATTTACCGGCCTAAATGTCCGAGAAATTTTCAGAGAAAATGTACGTGAGAGAATCATGGAAGATTGTAGTTTAAAGACAGTAAAATCGACCTTGCTAACCGAACGATCCTCTGTGACCCAATCGGTTAAGGCACGTTAGGCTATATGACGGTTCCATACAGGATACAGGTTCGATTCTTGTCGGAGTACGAATATTTTTCTATGATAATTTCTCGGATATTCAGACCGGTAAATAAATGTTATTACTGTATATAATAAACAGAGCATTTACTTAATATTTGTATATATAATATAAATGTATGAACATAAAAATATCTTAAAATAATTGTCGGACTTTGTCCATTTCACACACACACACACACACACACACACACACATATATATATATATATATATATATATGTGTGTGTGTGTGTGTGTGTGTGAAGTGGGCGTTGAAAAGTTATTGATCCTACGAAGAAACCCTACCCACCAAAATCCGTTCTGTGATATGGCCAGATTTTGAGTAATTAGTGGGGTGAAAATTACTTTTCAGCACCTTCTCTTGAATATATTTGTGCGTGTATAAATTGTAGTAAATGTGCGTATCTGGGCAATTTAAAAAATTGTCGACATTTGAATGAAGATATTATCATTTGGGTGTGGGTCTAAAAGGCTAAAGAATGGACAGAAGTGATACAGTTTAAACATCCTTTTAAAATGGCTTTGATCTTTATTCTAATTTTCACAGGGAATGTTTCCTAACCTTAAATCTCTTACTTTCATGGCACTCCTTTATTGTTCTTTCTTGCTCTCTTTCTTTTTCTTTTCTTATTTGTTCGCTTTCTATGTTCCTTTCTTGCTCACTTTATTTCTTTCTTTCTTTTTCTTTGCATCTTTCTTTCTTGTACTCTTCTTTTGTTTCTTTCTTTTTTTCGTTGTCTTTCTTTCTTGCACATTTTTTTTCTTTCTTACACTCCTTTTCTTTCTTTTTTTTCTTTGTTTCTTTCTTTCTTTCTTTCTTTCTTTTTTGATTGCTTGTTTGCTGGTTTGCTTGCTCCCCTTTTTCGGTATTTCTTTGTTTATTTCTTTCTTGCTCTCTTTTTTTTCTTTTTTTTGTTTTAATTCTTTCCTTCTTTCTGTCTTCGTTTCTTGCTTGCACGCTTTCTTTTTTCTTCCTTTCGTGCTCTCTCTATTTCTTTCTTTGATTTTTTTCATTTTCTTTACATTTTTCTTTCTTTCTTTCTTTCTTTCTTGTACTCTTTTTGTTTGTTTTTTTCTTTCTTTTTTCGTTGTTTTTCTTTCTTGCACATTTTTTTCTTTCTTACACTCTTTTCCTTTCTTTCTTTCTTTCTTTCTTGCTTACTTACTTTTTTCGGTCTTTCTTTGTCTTTCTTTGTTCGTTTCTTTCTTGCTCTCTTTCTTTCTTACTTTCTTTTTCTTTCTTTTTTCGTTCTTTCTATCTTAGTTTTATTTTTTACTCTCCTTTTATTTGCAATCTTTTACCTTTTTTGTTTCTCTCTCTCTCCCCCTCTCTCCTCCATCTCTCTCTCTCTTTGTCTCTCCAAATCTTTTTCTCGATCTCTTTTAATTGGCTATATTTTGCAAATTAGTCGGTTCGATTTCCTCTGGATGCTCCTCTTCGTTCTTTCAAGAAGTACAAGAATAATATTTACCGATATCTTCAGCAATCCCCGCAACTTGACCCGATTCCATATTTGTGAAGCAGGGAATATCGACCTCATTATTTCTACTGGCAGGGAATATTACTACTGTGTTATCGGAAATATTCTTTTGAATATTAACTGAATTAATTTTAATAAACTTGAATTTAACTGCTGGGCATTAGAATAAATAATAATTTATTCGAAATATTATATATTTTTTATGAACTATTATCTATCCTTTATTTTTGTTCTATCTTTCACATTATCTAGAACGATTATTATGTCTGATGCTAGCCTCCAGGAGAGTGACCCGTTGTGCCTTCTCGGACTAACGTTTTCTGCTGACATGTCGAATAAGTTGTTAGTCTGTTACTAGGAAAGGTGGTTCCCTGTGTCGTAGTAGACAATTTTTTCTCACCAGAATCTATCTTACATATTTATAAGTCTACCATTAGTCTTTGCTTTGAATATTGCTGCCATATCTGGTCTAGTGCCTCTGCTACATATTTAGAAATTATTGATAAAATCCAAAGAAGAATCTGTAATGTTATTGGTCCTGACCGGCATCTCGACTTCAGACTTTTTGATAACATTTCTTCTATGTTACCCAGACTTTATGAATTTAAGCGCAGTGCGAGATTGGTGGCAAGGTCTCATCATTTACTGTTAAAATGGCAAGATATAACCGTAAGTTCTATGTTAATAGTTTCTTCTGTCGCACTTCACGCTGGTAGAACTCTCGTTTTGCTTCCCAGTCAAGTTTGATCTTCAAAAATATAAATGCAATATCAATTTTTATACTATGTTTTCATAATCTTTATTCTTTTATTGTTCGCTCTCCTTAATAGTATTTTTTCTCTCAGAATCTTTAACACGCACTGCGGCCCCGGCTTTAGCTATGCGAATTTTTCACATCCTTTCCAGTAGAATTTATCTCGGCCCCTCGGTACGTATAAGATTCAACAGATTTTATTTATTCACCTGACACAGCTTGTATTGAACAGTGCTGGGTGAAGTCAATGAATTCAGCTTTAGAGAGCTTTAGATACAGAGTCCAACATCATCGGCAGCATTTCTGGATGATGTAGGAGAACTGTGGCATTGGTGATGGTGTTTTCAGTGATAGCTAGATCAATATTTGTCAACTTTTTTGCATGATATCGACATTAGAGACTTGTTGATGATGTTTGTTGAGGGAAGTTCTCAATTCCATAGTCATGGTTAATAACAAACTGAAAAGGTACAAGAATGTCACCCTGGAGGACTCCTGATGCTTGGGGTTAAAAGATTAAAAAAAAATGTTCTAGCATAAATGTTAAATTTAATTGTTACAGACATTGATATTAATGAGAAAAATCAACTGTGAAACTAATTCGTTTCTTCCTTGGAAGAATTTGGGTTCTGGATTAAAAAAAAGATTTATATGACTGAACTGATCTCTGTTGAACTATTCAATATTCTTGTCACTAAAATTGGACCCGCCTATTCTATGGCTGAGAAGGATGAACAGTATTCTTACAGATGAAGACGAAACTTGCAGTAACAGGAATTTGATTCTACAGAACGAAGTTGACAATACCATGGACTGAACATGTGAACATTGCAGAGAAAATGAAAACAAAACGATCAATATTTGGGAAAGATGGCCAAAAGTCAACATTTACTGAGAGTTAAAATGACAAGAAGTTGTGGAGAGCCATGATCCCAAACGTTCTGAAGGAACGCAGCACATAAAAGAAGATATTTAATAAGTATTTTAACAGCAGATAGAAAATGCGAGACCAAAATCTGAAGTATTGGGATAGCGAAAGATGCCTTTTAAAAGATATGCAAAGTATTAAGAAACACGAAAATTTCATTGGACACAATGAAAAGAGAACAGAACTGTTATGTAACATTGTTATTTCTGTGAGACAGTAAACGCTAGACGATCTCATTTGGCATATCAACTCCTTATGGGTCATTTAATGCCGAAATTTAATTTGTAGTTTTCACAGTGGAGGCTTGTATTTCAATAAGTCGTCCTAAATTAGGTTCGACGTACAAAACGTTAGGAACTTGAAATAAGAGTTAATGACGCAGCAATCTAGTTGTGATGGTTGATACTTCAATGTCCGACATCGACTGACTCACTCAACACCACTGAGCCCAACTGGCCACTGCTACTACTACTACTTATTATCTGTGGGAGAGTCTATTACAATAGAATAGGTATCATGGTATAACACTTGGGAGCTTTGAAGTAAAAAAAAATATATGTTATTCTGCTTTCAAAATTAAATACATGGTAGATGATTCTCAGCATTTCTGCATATACATGTTTGTGTGGACATGATTACTAGAGGCAACAATATGTGTATTTTATGGTGTAGTTTTGTTGAAGCTATATTTCGAAATACACTTTGATTTCTTTAAGTAATTGTAGGATATTATGTAGACTACTGTCATGAAAGTGTTGCTTCATAATGCTTGTTTTGTTAGTTGATTTTCTTTGACGTCAAATCAACCTTTATGAGTTATTTAATACCGAAATCTCATTACTTTGAACGCAATTTTATTCTTTCAACTAGAGATATTTTGTACATAATTTTATACTTTCAGAGTAAAGGTATGTTATATATATATATTATAATATTATATAAGTCTCGATCGCAAAAGCGTGAAACTCAGTGTCACAAACTCGCATCAATTCAATCAAATATGTTTGCTCTATCTCTGATATTACTTTCGATCTTTTACATTTGTATGTATATATATATATATATATATATATATATATATATATATATATATATATTGATCCAACCAAATATGTTAGCTCTATCTCTGAAATTGAGCGCTTTCTAATAAGCACCGCGCATATATATAATATATAAATATATATATATATATTACACACACACACACACACACACACACGCACACACACACACACACACACACACACACACATATATATATATATATATATATATGATGAAATATAGTCTTAAAGTGTGCTATACTTATGGGATAAAGTGCTCAATATCAGAAATTGAACGTGTGTAAATATAAAGATGAGCATTGAAGTCAACACTTAGAGGCGACAGGCTGTTTCATGCTAGACGCAATCGTCAGGCCACGAGTGCTGTTATTTTTCTCGGCTATTTATATATACGGGTTAGTGGTGCATTGTGGGTAGTCTATTTTGGCGGTTGATTTTTTTATATATATATATGTATATCATATAACGTATTATTGGTAATTTTTGTATATAAATTTAATGCAGATTTTTGTTAGGGCGTTCACTATTTGCTGGGGACCTGGGAACAACAGCTATTAAGAGGTGGTTCAACACTCCTCAAAACCTGCAGTCTCCTGATCAGAGGCCTTACTGCCGGATGTAATTTATCGTCATAACCATAAATCGGATCAGACGGAAAAGAGACTTGAGGAAAAAGAAATGTGATTTTACAGAAGGATGTTGAGAATACCATGGACTGAACATGTGAGCATCAACGAAGTTTTAGAGAAAATGGAAACAAAAAGGATACATTCCCTATTATTTGCAATTATTTATTACCACTTATCGGCCAACCCTTTGATACCTTTAAATTTTACCCTGATTGATTAACATTGTAACAAATTCTTGACGTTTTTGTCTTTGGTCAGTGTTATTCCTATTTGTTTCTGTCTAGAAAGCAAATGAACTGATACTTATTCCTTTCAAACTTTGCCACACTACCCATGAGCTCCCCGTATTAACTCCCGAGAAGAGAACAGCAATTCAGAAGAGAATGAAGTCATTGATCAAGGTAACAGAAGCACAGGTGAGGAGAGAAACCTATACCATCCCAACCAAAAAGACCTCAACGACCTGATTAGAGATCTTAGTCTCACGTAATCCAATGCCAAGCTTTTGACGTCGAGGCTCCAAGCGGCGGAATTTGTGAGATGAAAGTGTGAAAATCGCAGAGAAAGCGTCAACAGTGGTTTTGAAGCTTTTTCACGCGTCTGCCATAATGTGACCGGTCTGTTCGAGGCAATTAGAATCGTCAGTAACAGCAGCGAATAGCGCCCATTCATCAACAGCTCATCCAGGAGCCTCAAAGCCCGTGCTCCTTCATAACGGGAACATATATCCATCTTTTCCCCTGACTCACTCGCTGCAGATCGAAGAGGAATGCACAGTGTCAAGATCTGGTTATACGCCTTGAAATATGAAGAGTACGGTTGGTAGGTTATCGGAAAATTCAAAATGTCGACCTTCCTGATTGGTCTCCAAGGAGGCTTTACTAAGTTTCCGTGTTATATTTGCCTTTGGACAATACGGCACACAAACTCAGACGGAACTGGCTACAGCTGAGCAAGATCAGTATGGTGAGGAACAATGTCAAATGGGAGGTACTGTTAAACCCAGGAAAGTATTGTTTCCTCCACTGATTGGGCTTTTTGAAACAATTTGTCACTGTTCTAGATAAGGAGTCTGTGACCTTCAAGTACCTTCAAGTCTTCTTACCTAAGCTGTCTGCAGTAAAATTCAAATCCGGTGTCTTCGTCTAACCACAAATAATAAAGATATTAGATTGTAAGGAATTCCCCTAGAAACTCACTAGGACGGAAAAAGCAGCGTGAAACAGTTTTTTCGCAGTGGTTGAGGGGTTTCTGGCGGAAAAATATGTGGAGCTTGTTGAGACCCCGGTGAAAAACAACGGTAAAATTGGTTACAGGAAGTCTGTCAAAGTCCATATTCTTGACGCTCATCTTGATAAATTCAAGGAAAACATAGGGCGGGGCTGCGTACTCAGATGGGCAAGGCGAGCGTTTCCACCGGGATATACTTGACTTTGAACGCCGCTACCAAGGATCGTAAAAACATGAAGGGAAAATATATTCGGGGTCTGATTCGTAAAAGTTATTTACAGTATATAAGCGCAGATCGCAAAAAAACTACTAGTTTCTAATTTTTTTATGGTCTCTCTAGTGTTATCCTAAAATAAACAAATGTTACTTTTGTATCATGTGTCGTTTTGTTCCTAATTTGCGCGAACGAGACTGTTCGCATTCGCCAGTTTCCCCAATGGAAATAGGTAAATTTAAAAAAATATTATTATCCTGGTCACAAATGCAAAGTTTGAAGGAAACAGACATTTTTTTCATATTTTATAGGCGAAAGCAAACAGGAAATAATCCAAGGACAAAAATCGTGTTGAAAAGTCTTATTGTTGGCGGGTGGTTGGAAGATGTGTCCATGTAAAGTGGTTTGTCGTTGAGTTTTCTGTATAGCTAATATGTAACTTTTCTTGGGTTGAGTGTGATATCTAGGAAATCTAATTCTTTTAGGTTTGTTTTATGTCGATGTCAAATCCAACGTATATATATATATATATATATGTGTATATATATATATATATATATATATATATATATATATATATATATATATATATATATATATATTAAATATTTGTGATTATTTTTTGTATTTTTGTCTGCTATAGTTTCTTAGGCGTATGAGGTCGTAGACTGTATAGGTCTATATTTCTGCACGCTCTATTCTTGGTATTGAACATTTTTAACCAAAAATATAGCATTTCTTAAAATCATATTTTATCATATATATATATATATATATATATATATATATATATATATATAGTTTGTTGTGACCAAATAATTGGTTAATCAATAACAAAACAAAAGGTTGCAGTTAAATAGTGCATTGAACAGTAAATACAACAGAAGTGTGTTACATGACTTGAGAGCGTGTGTCGGTTGACCAGCGTTCAGTCTATATCACCGTTCCCCACCGAGGCTTACTTTTCCTACTACTTTATAGTAAGTGGAAGAGTCCATAACATATATATATATATCCTGATTCTTTTGTTCTGTTTTCTTTGTTTTAGTTTATTAGTTATTTTTCGTTTTTTTCGGTTTCCCTTCCAATATCCTCGAATAGAACTTTTTTATTCATCCACGTGAGTATTTTTCCATTTCTTTCCCCGTCACATACAGTGTCCTTTCCTTAGGATTAATAACAACAACACACATGTCAGAAATGAACGCATACACCTAAGAGCGAGCGGATTCACATGGACGCGCGCGAACACACACACACATAGGATTATCCTCACTTTGTTTACTAAGACTTCCATTAGGTGGCGCTGTTTAGGGACTATAAAGGAACGGTATAAAAATTTCCCTTTCTCTTTTTCTCCATCATGTACGAGAAATGGCAACAAGACTATTAATTGCTGAGGATTCAATCTCCGGAGAGCAGATTTCTTAATTTCAAAGAAACCACGTGGACATCACACACACTACAATTAAATACATAAATGTTTGTTTTTTTCTCTCTCGTTTTTAACTATCTGTATAAACGTAAAAATATTTTTCTTTCTTTTCTTTAATATGTCTATAATTTCTTCACGCGTTTGAACGGACATGTGAAAGTGGAAAGATTCTATCAAATCAATTTGCTAAGTCTCCTGCGACGAACATCGGTTCCCTGTGTCGTATTAGGCAATTTTTCTTGCCAGAATTTATCTTACATCTTCATAAGACTACTGTTCGTCCTTGCTTTGAATATTGCTTTGAAAATAATACAATAACCTAAGTTTGTTTATTGCTCATTCTCTTCAAGGGAAAATATGAAACTTTATATAAAAAATGTAAATGAAATAATTAATTAATAAAAAGGACACGTCTCCGGAATGGGGGACCATCGCCTGCTCAAGATAGCCCTGTATGGCGTACTCGCCACTGACCACCGTGACAGAGGGACATCAAAGAAGAGTTATAAGGACTCCCTCAAGATGTCCTTCGGTACCTGCAACATTGACCATCGTCAATGATTGACACTCATTGCTGACCGTCAAGCCTGTCGCCGCATCGTTCACCAGGCCGTCTCCACCTTTGAGGACTCCCGCAGGGCCAACCTGAAGGAGAAACGACGCGGGAGGAAGGACCGGGAAGCCTCAACAGCTATACCAGAGCAGAACCTCCTGTTCCATATCGGCCTTGTCGGCCATCAGCGTGTCTGCAGTCGGCGTGGACAGCCCATTTCATAAATCTTCGTTCGCGAAGCCAGGTCAAGAGAGAGAATAAAAAGGAAAAGATAAAAATATTATAATAGACTAGGTTTGTTCATTACACTTGATTTTAAGAGAATTGTTTAAAATAAATAATGAAAAACCAGAGGATTAGTAAAAAAATAACAAAGAAATTTGATGTGTAAGATTTGTTTTTTTTTGTTTTTTTGGGTTTTTTTTTAACTTTCTAAAAATAGAATGACTGAAAAGGCGCCAAAATAAGGCGGGCTGTTTGTTATTGTACAAAAATTTAGTTTCCAAATTTCAAAAAGAGGTAAACTTTTTGGATTTTTTAGTCAATGAGGAGGGTGACTTTCTACCATGCAAATTAAAATCTTGGATTTGAATCTGGAGCCTATTTGGGGCCTATATAAGGATTCGGTTAAAAAAAATCTGAAGAACAGAATGGGTTCGGTGGTTAAAAGCAAATAACCGAGGTGTGTTTATGCCACCAGTGGATGAAAGAGGCTGTCTGTTAGCAGAAGAAGCAGCAACAGCAGCCGCAGCAGCCGCAACAGCAGCCGCAACAGCAGCCGCAGCAGCAGTCCCAGCGGCCGCAGCAGCCGCAAAAGCAGCAGCAGCAGCAGTCCCAGCAGCCGCAAAAGCAGCAGCAGCTATAAGAACCCAGAAAATAAAAGATACAAATTCCAAAAATAAATTATTGAAGAATTGTTTCAAAAAGAATACGGCGAGATTTATCGCGCGACATTATTGTGGTTCCTCTTTAGAAGAAATTTGTCAAAATCTCAGCGACGCTGGTGAATTTGTCAACTTTCTTAATTTCTACTGTCAAAGAAGTGTATCTTTTTTTGAAAGAATATATGTTGTTCGGACATTTTTTGAAAGGAACTGTATTGTTGTACCTCCTCAAAAGATTTGTCGAATATTGAAAGTATGTAGGTAAATGAAAGTTTTGTAGAAGAAATATTTATATAAGCTACTATGAGCCTAAATCTTGAATTTTTGAGCTGGTTATCTTGCCTTAATAATCATAAGGACCACAAAAAGAACATTTTGCGCAATCTTATTTCTACATCTTAATATGTAGATGTTAATCGAACCTGTAGACGCATATTTTCTATGTAGATGTTAATGTTAATGTCTTCTCAGTGGTTGTAAATTTCGTTCAAATTTCATTTCGGAGTTTCGAATCTTATTTGTAGTTTGAGCCTTAAGAATATTCAAGACAAGAGAAGTTACGCGATCTATTCTCTCAATCTTTCCCCTATAAAATCCTTTTATCATTGAACAATCGCCATAATTAAACTATTGTTACTACTTTATCTACCGTTAATTGTAATTACGTTGAATATAACTGCTTATTGAATGTGGATCTAGAACAATAACTGGTGAGGTAATCTTGTTTAAATTATTAGTTGATATTCTTAGGTTTTCTTTGTATTCATTATTCGCCACTGTAATTATCAACGCTGTAAATATGTTAATCAATTCTATTTAGCCAACATTTTTATTCAATCGTTGACTTCCTCCGGGATTGTGTGCAAGATAAACGGTAGTTAAAACGAAATATTTATAAAGAATTTAAAATGGCAGACAATGTTTTATCTTATAATAAAATTCAATATTACCGCTACTACTATAGGTGTAGATTTAAGATAAAAGAAATACTAGCAAAAAACTAATAATGGTTGGTAGTTCTTCATTTAATAATGTTTCCAACATCTTCTTCTTCTTCTTCTTCTTCTTCTTCTTCTTCTTCTTCTTCTTCTTCTTCTTCTTCTCATCATCGTCGTCGTTCGGAAGGCATCATTCGCAAACCCAATGAGCTTTCGGATTTTGCATTTCCCCTTGCCTCTATTAAGACATTTCCTAGATGTTTCAATTTTTGCATTTGATTAATTTTGGCAAATTCCAGTTTTCAATTCGTATGTTGGGCTCTTCTTTTTGTTAACAGCCAAACATTCTATCTTCTTAGACTTTATATTCAGTCCTTTAAACGTAGCTAAAAATAAGATGAAAGAAATACTTAACAAAAATTAATAATGGCAACGTGTTTCATCTAATAATACAATTCGAGATAATATTATTATTGATACTAGGAATGTAAATAAAACATTTAAAATTAATTAATCCGTATAAAAACATTAATAATGCCTGTTAATGTTTTATCTAATAATTAAAATTCACTATATTACTTCTCTTAATATGAACTTTTTCGGAAAAATATTCGCTTTATTATATAAACTAATAGGTATTTCGAAGTAATTAAAGTTGCTTTCATGGTCCAAGGAATGCTGGGAAATAATCCTTCCGGTTGTTCAAGTTTTTTATTTCTTTTTTTTTTTTTAATTTTTCAGGTTTTCTATCAATCTTTTTTGCATGAATTCTTTTTTCTTAACCGACCTTCGTTTTTTTCTCCCCCCCCTATGCCGTTCTATTCTTTTCATCGGCCTTCCCATCCATCTCTACTTCCGTTCATCCTATTCTTCATTCTAACAACTGCTACGAGAGTTCGCATCAGGCATGATAAGGGGTGAAGGTGGGCTGCGATTGTAGGGACGGGAAAGATGTGTCAAGGTCGAACGAACTATAGCAACACTTGTCCTGATTAAATCATAGAGAATTCACCGGATTTTCCCTCACTCCCACTCTTTCTCTCTCTCTCTCCGCCTCCAACCATCACTTTCTCTCTCTCCCCTTCCATCTCACTCTTTCTTTCCCTCACTCTCTCTCTCTCCCTTCCAACCACCCTCTCTTTACATTTGTTCCTCCGCAATGCTATCCAGAAAATAAAAAAAAAATAGTTGCACAATGGATGAGAACAAATGACTAATTATAAGACATCATACTAACTGAACGCATTAGTTAACAGATATAGGGCCTAGGTACCTACCTACCTATATATATATATATATATATATATATATATATATATATATACTAATAGTAATACACGTTTGGAAAAAAAACTCAGATATCTCAACTTGTAGATATATCAAAACAAATCGGTACCCGAGGAAAAAATTGGAAATAAAAAAAGAATTAAAAACATCCAAACAGGGCGAAATAAATCGTCCAGTGCCTTAAGTCTTTAGTTCAAAGAAGAAAAGAAACCAAGCGAGTAGTAAGACTAAAACGTAGAGTGCTCAATACGCTAAGTAGAGCGGGAATAACTAAAATAATAAGATCCATCCAAGATAACTTCAAAAAACGTTACTACAATCATTTAAGTAGCTTTAATCACGAAACTGACAAAGTACCAGCCTGTCCACATACATATGGAATATAAAACAAGAAGATGGTAGTGACCACTTTTTTAAATGGGGAAATATTTAAAAAATGCCATAAATATAAAGCAGGGTACAAATTTTGTTCGTTATGTATGGAGGAAAAATTAGCAATCGCCATTTATAATGATCCTAATAATTTATTAAATCAATTTGAGATTCTAAATAGGTGAAAACATAGGAAATCCTGCTTATTGGACGAGAAGCTATTTTTTGTCTTCTTCTGTCACGTGGTTTTATCAATAAATACTGTTACATCATTTCCTTTTTGGCCAGCTTACTCTGAAGATCCGTTTAGGTGAAACCTAGGTAGGTTTCCCTAGGTCTTTAGTATTTTAGTTATATATATATATATATATATATATATATATATATATATATATATATATATATGTTGAACATTAAACAATATTGAAAAATTAAAAAATAAAATCTTCAGACACACTGGGTTGTATATTAATATTCTTTGGGTTTTTATTATTATTTCATTTAGTTTCGGCCAACATGGCCATCATCAGGAGAATATTTTCTGCTTCCTGGTAGCAGTGAACTACAGAAATGAATGTCTTCATGGAGAAAATGAACTTTTCTCTGTAGTTGTCATTTGTTTTTTTATCTTTTTATTTTTTTAACATGAATTTTGGTCAGTCCTTGTGTTCGTCAAACAGTCTCTTTTAATTGTTATTTAAGATGGATTCATGCTGCTCTGAATTCCCTTGGTCATTTTGACATTTTTATTGGTTCCTGGAAACGGGACGTGTCTCTGTTAAGTGTGTGTGTGTTATTTGGTTTTCATTATATATGTATATATATATATATATATATATATATATATATATATATATATATATATATATATATATATATTATTAGTATAGTGGCATATATGTATGTATATGTAAATGTAATTATGTATGTGGGAAGATATGTACGCATATAAGTGTGTTGGACAGCATGATTTATTCTTTTGGGTGCTCGGGTATTACCCACAATCTATAAATCTATAATTCAACTAATTTACATTAATCTTAACGGGCTTAAGTTTAAATCCCCCATTACTTATTAATAATATTGGACCCTTGTAGTATGAAAACTATTTACTGTGAATCCCAGGAAAACACACTTGGTGCTTCTATAGGAAACGCCACATAGTAGAGACAGATGTTTAGTTACAAACAGCGAAAGGCTCTAGCCATAAACTCCAACCCCAGACCGCTTGCCCTGAAAACCTTACACACTCTACCTGTCGCTAACACAAGCCCCTTCTCATGAACAAGGAGGACTGACATTGAAAATAAAATTTAAAACAATGCTCCCAGACAGGCACTTATGGACTGATGATAGCGGCGTACAGACCTGCTTGAAATAAATTATCCCCATGTGTAATTTCCCGCCTCATCTTAAAGTAATATGGCCTTACGTATAACATTAGCTCTTGCACTGGGACTTTTTTTGTCAGCCATGAGCAAAAATGTATTCTAAATCACAACTGAAATGTAATTGAAAGAACGTCAACGGCAGAGCATGGATGTAAACAAATCTGAATTCAAAATCGGTGGAGGAGCGGAAAACAGCGCACGAGTGCCGCTTGTCAATTTAAAACAAGAACTTACTTTGTTATGCTAATTTTTATGTTTTTGATTATTTTGTGATATACATATATATATATACTATTTTAAAATTTATTTAAATATGATTTTAAATGTGTTTATTGTTATTTTAGTGTTTTGACTATATATATATATATATATATATATATATATATATATATATATATATAAAAAAATGACAAGTTTCTACTTGTGTTTTTTGTATAATGAAGTGAACAATGTGTTATTATTGGATTCTATGAGATTGCTTGGGAATGGGATATTTTGGGATTCCCATTCTTAGTCGTTCACGAATAATCTGATAATAATACATTCAGAACTTCATCATATATATATATATATATGTGTGTGTGTGTGTGTGTGCGCGCGTGCGCGAAATAATTATTCGTTTAAATATGCTTTATTGAATAGAATGGACAAATATTTTCTGTGGATCCTTTTGGTGAGTCTCCCTGGTACCGAATAAGGACGTTTCATGTTGAATGGAAACTTGGAAAAGCACTTGCCAAAATTGTGTGGAATGTTCCAAATAATTTCAACAATCGTTGGTGATTCGCAATATCAATAAAATGGCTGAGATCCGTTATAAAGGAACATATTGAAAATATTTAGCTTGACATCATTTCAGGCTGAATTTCTTGAATGAGCTGTTATCATTCGACCTCTTTTATATGCGAACGATTATCTCAAGATTTCGGAGGTTGTTCGATCCTTTGTGAGTTCAATCCCTAAGCCTAGCAGTGTGTTCTTGGATTCAGTGGAAACGGGACAAGCAATAATTGAGCAGTACTAAAAATAAGAACTAGACGAGATCTCCCTAGACATGGGCAGTAGCAAAGGAGCAGCCTATCCACATAGATTAAATAAATCTTTCAGTTCAGAATTTAATATATATTAACCGGATCAACGTACACAAGATGAAGGCGCAACGGTCGAAATGTTGTGATAACAACAACAAAGATGAGGACAATACTCCACCTGTAAACAATATTACCTCGACATGTTTCGCTAGTATTACGGAGTCATTAGGAGAACAATTTTATGTGAAAACCCCAATTATTCATTCTTCTTTTTTATGTACCGTGTCCCTTCAGGTTGTGGGCGATCATGATTCTCCCCAACTTCCTGTCTTTTGTAGCTCTTTTTTTTGTTATTTCTCTTAATCCATGTTTTGCCAATCATTTACTCAAGCCTCTTCTTCTATGTTCTGTGTCCCTTCAAGTCGTGGGCGATCATGGCTCTCCACAATTTCTTGCCCGTTGTAGGTCTTAGCAAAGTTTTTTTTTACAACCTATTCTAATCCTTGTTCTAACTCCATTTACACAACCAAATTAGATAGCTTAATTGCAATTTTCCCCTGTCCATTTTGCCTTCAAGAGAGTAGGATGTGTTAAATTTTCTAAGCCGTCTTTTTTCATTATGAGCTCTAGAGAGTTTAACTCTCTTTTTCTGATTCTAATCAAAAATGTCCATTTTGTTTTACATTTTCCGTAAAACTTCGTCATTGCTCACGTGTTCAGTCTATGGCATTCCCAGCATCCTTCTGTAGATGCACATTTCTGACGCCTTGTGTCTCTTCTTACTCTGTGGAGATTGATCATCTTGATTCTTTAAAAGATTTTTTTACAAATTGTCACATTTACTATTTTATTTAAATCGTTCAATCTTTGAAAATTAATGCATTTAATAATATACCTTTGCATAAGCAAGCGCACATACACACACCCAGATACATAGACACACACACGCGCGCGCACAGACACACACACATATCTATCTATTTATCTATCTATCTATCTATCTATCTATCTATCTATCTATCTATCTCTCTCTATATATATATAATTGTGATTTGGGGTAGTAATCGCTCTTTAATACATGTTCTGTTAAACAAGACTTAATGATATATTATTCATTTATGTGCTGTGTTCCTTCAATGCATTGTATTTGATCATGGTTCTCCACAACTTCCTGTCTATTGTTGCTTTCAGCAACGTTTGACTCTTTATCATCTCTCCTTGTTTCTGCTATTCATTCACTCAAACCCATTAGTCACTATTTCCCCTCCTTCCTAGAATATGCCCTGTGAGTATTAAATTTTCCAAGCACACTTTCCACATAATGTGTTCCAGAAATTTCAATTGTCTCTTTCTGATTTTAAGTTTTCTTTCGTCTTGTAATATGACTTACATTGGAATTTTAAAGTTGTATGTTTATTAGATGAAAAATTTTCAGCGATTTTCATCACAAATCTGGACTAGTACTAAATTTCACGATAATTTTATAGTTGCTTTCATAGATTCTGAGTCTATACTACTAGGCCCAGGGATTGAACTCAAAATTACTATGCCACTAAATTTATGAACCGACACATTAATGCACGAAATAATATTGAACCTATAAATTAGAATCTTATTATTCTTTTATTGCTTGCGTGTTGCTGCTGTCACGCTTTACTGCCTTTACCGCCGCTTCTCTTTTGTTGCTGCTCCTTATTCTGATACTGATTCTGAAGTCTTCCTGTCGTTCTCTTTCTTTCTTTCTTTCTTTCTTTCTTTATGATTGCCTCAAGGCATATGAAGGAGATCGGACGTCACAGTGGCCAAAATGTTGTCAGAATAGCAAAAGTACAGATATTAGTCTGCATAACTACTCGTCCCAGAACTTTACACTGGGCAGTGAGTGCAGGACAACTCAACACCGCCGACTCAACACCGCCGATTCAACACCGCCGACCAGAGCGTTGGGACAACTCAGGACCGAGACAACGCAGCACCGGAAAAACATAACATTTTTATAACCAAATAAAAGTAATTTACTAAGTATTAAATTCTTAATTAGTGAATATTTTTCTTTAAATAAGGCATTTGAAAAGGCATTATGTAAATCGTAACGAAATTTATTTATTAACATAGTAAATTCTCATATAAAAATAATTTAATAAAAAAAACACTCGTTTTTAATTCTTTTTTAATAAAGTAAATCGAAAATGCAAGACAAAATGAAGCAGTTTTTTGTTTTTAATTATTTTTAATAAAGTAAATTGGGATGTAATTTAATTTTTAATAATGTAAATCAACATTTTAAAATATTTTTAAAAACAATTTAATAATTTACGATTTAAATTAATTAGAAATAATTACAAACAAAAAACTGGTTCATATTTTACATAATGCCTTTTCAAATTCCTTATTTGAAGAAAAATATACACTAATTAGGGTTTTAATCTTTAATAAATTACTTTTATTTGGTTTAAAAAAAAGTTACGTATTTAGGATGCTAAGTTGTCTTACTCCGGAGTTGTCTTAGTCTTGAGTTATCTCGGTCCTAACTTGTCTCAGTCCAGTATTGTCCCGGCGCACAGTCGGCAGTATTGAGCTGTTCCTTCCCGCTCAGTAATGACTGTAGGTAAACGATTAAGCACAAAGGTGGGCAGAGTATTTAACTACGGCATTCTATGGAACGGTGTCGTCGCCCATGAACAGGTATATCATTATTGATAGGATGGTATTTCTTCTTAGTCCGAATATAAATGAGGTAAATGAATATTTATATATTTCGTGGTCTATTGACATAAATCATTGCAGAACATGATGTTTAATTTATCGCCCTGTTCGTTGCATTTACGATTAGCAATATTTAACTTTTAAAGTTAAAGCAATGCAAAGCTGATTTTGTATTCAGTGTCTAAGTTCACCGACTTGTTTTACATTCCATAACAGAATTTTTCTCCAAATTGCTGTTGATTCTTTGCTTTATTCATGTTTAGCAGTCAACGACTTTGTTAAAGCAACAATTCAGTTTTATTCCCAGGATTTATTATTTATAGTGTAAAAACATATTTCAACCCGCCGCCGCACACAATTACTTGCACCTGTTATTGTAGATCATATGAAAATCTATGTATCTATCTAATCGATAGATCGATCGTGCTATGAAGGACCGAACAATTCGGAGCAACTTGCATGTCGAGGGTCATAGAGGGTGTAAAAGACGACGAGCAAACTGCGCTGATCAATTTGGATCAGTCAAGGGCATTTGACAGGGTCGGTCTGGCTGCTGTCCTGCTGGAAGCTGGGATTGCCACACTTGGTGAGTCATCAATGCACCTCGAGGTTGGCTTTTCTTCGCCGAGTTTTTACAGAGGATACGATTTTGATAGACGCCTTCCCTAACTTTACTACCACTCCTCTCATTTCCTGAGCTAAGCGCTGTCGTAGGTCTGGAAAATTGTCGACTTTCCTCAACGAGAGTCGAGCAACGTTGAGGACTTTTCAGTGACCTTTCACGGCCTCAAAAGGTCTTGAACAATAGAAAACCCTCCATACCTCCTTTGTTCAACCAGTTCGAGGTCCTGACCTCCTCTACCGACAAGGCTGAATGCTTTGCTCGGAAATTCTCATTTAATTCAAAGCTCGACGCCTCCGGTGTACCCATACCAGACTTCCCTCTAAGAACTGAGACCCTATTGAGCGGGTTACACATAACCCCGTCCTTGTTATTGGGTATTATCTCCAATTTAGACCCCCACAAGGCTAGTGGTGGAGATGGCATACCAGACATTGTCTTGAAATGCGCGCCTGAGCTAGCGCCGCCCTCTCTAAACTATATAATTACTGCCTCAAGGAGTCCTGTTTTCCTGACTGCTGGAAGTCCTCATCCATTGTTCCTGTCTTTAAGAACTCTGGAGACTTCTTTGACCCCTCTAATTACCGTCCTATTAGTCTCCTACACTTCTTCGTCAAAGTCTTCGAAGCCCTAATCAACGCCGAAGTGGTTAACCACCTTATCTCACACGACCTTCTCGCAGACAGGCAATATGGTTTCCGCTACGCCCGATCTACAGCTGATGTGCTTACTGCCATCACTGAAACCGTCTACCAAGCCCTTCAAAATAACGGTGAGGCTCGTGCCGTGGCCCAAGACATCTCCAAAGCGTTTGATACGGTTTGGCATGCCGGCCTTCTTCACAAGCTCCAGGGTTATGGTATTACAGGTCGATTGTTTGACCTAATACAATCATTCCTGTCAAACCGTGAATTGAAGGTCGTTCTCAACGGATTCTCCTCCAGTTCCTATCCCACGAACGCAGGTGTTCCCCAAGGCTCCATCCTTGGCCCCACTCTATTCCTTATTTTCATCAACGACCTTCCTGACGCCATAGATTCCCAAGTTGGCATCAACGCGGACAACACTACAATTTACTCCTGCCTCAAAAACAAATCTAGTGTCGCTGACAAAACTAACCTGGACGCTCATCTTGAAATGGACATCCAATCGGTTGTTAATTGGGGCAAGAACTGGCTGGTTAACTTTAACGCCTCAAAAACTAAACTACTCTCTGTTAATCACCATAGAGATCCTTCCCTGCCCCCCATTAGAATGTCTGATAGTCAACTTCTTGAGAGCAACTCTCTGCGTCTGCTCGGTCTCACGTTGACTGCTGACCTGAGATGGAACAAATACATTGAGTCAATTGCTTAGCCCACCGCGAGGAATGTTGGCTCTCTGTGCCGTGCCAGGAAATTTTTCTCCCCGGAATCGATACTTCAAATATACAAATCAACCATTCGCCCTTGCATGGAGTATTGCTGCCATATATAGTCTGGGACACCTTCTTTTTACCTCGGAGTTCTTGACAAGATCCAGAGCCGGATATGCATTATAATTGGCCCTGATCTGGCTTCTCGTCTACAGTTGATCTCTCACAGGCGCGCCGTCGCCTCTCTCTGTCTTTTTTACAAATACTTTCCTGGTAATTGTTCTGATGAGCTGCTTTCACTGGTTCCCAGACTCCATGAATTCAAGCGCCCTACGAGGCTGGCATCCCGCTCTCAACCTTTCACTGTAGAAACTTTTAAATGTAGCCGTCTCTTCTAATCCAATAGCTTCATACCTCGCACCTCTCGCTCGTGGAACACCCTCCCCTATTCCAGTTTCCCTGAGAGCTATATTCAACTATTCAAGTGTAATGTCAATCGACATCTCCAGTTACCTTGATCTATCCACTATCCCTCTCCTCATTCTTTCTTCTATCACTCCTATCTGCTCTCGCTCCAAATCTTCTGCAACCCCCTGCATCCTAGTGGCTTCACGCCTTGCTCGGGGCGTAATGCTTAAAAAAAATAGTGGAGAGGGTTGCGAAGGACCGTCTCTATGTGTGGCTCGGTTTGTCGCTGGCCGAGCTGCGCTATTTCTGGTCTTGGGCGCTAGCGGCGAATTACCTCAGTAACCCTGAGTTTTCGCTGACCTGGCGATTGATTCGAAACGTACTATCTCTCAATGACATGGCCTTCAGATGGGTCTGCATGGATTTGACTGACTGTTACCGGTGTGACCTTAGTTTAGAAATAACAGCTTTGCACGCCTTCTACCACTGTCCTCAGGTACGCCTTTTCTCGGACTATGTCAGCGAGTTGACGGCTCGTATTGCTCCTGATCAACTTGTGCTCATGGATCTCACATATGCGTGCTACAATGTGTCGCCTCCGTACTCTGGGGGTGAAACGAATGGCGGTTCTAACGTTGCTAGCTGTAACAAGAATGGTAATCTGGATGACGCAAAAGGAGGGAATCTTGCGACACGAACGCTATTCTCATCAGGCTCTGATCGGAATTTTTCAGCATCAGCTGAAAGTGAAGATCAGAACTGATATAGAGCATTTGGCGTCGACAGACTTCAGTGAAAGTTGGGTGAAAGTAGCGAGCTTGGTTCGTGTGAAATGGCGTATCCTTGAATTTCTTTTTTTTAAGTCCGCTTCGTCACAACGAGGCGGTTTCCTGTGAACCCTCTCCTAGTTAAGTTAAACTCTCTTTTGTGTAGCTAATGTGAGTGAGTGTCGTTCCTCGCCTGTTCCCGGCTTCTTCTTTTAGTTATGATCCAAGTGGAGATTCCCAAGCTCCCCAGTTTGATTTTGGCCTCCCTTTTTTATCTCGACTGGTCCAGTCTTTGATTTTTCCACGCACACATTTATTTTATCCTTACCGTTTCCCTTAGAGAGTTAGCTTCTTGATTCTGTCTGATGACAAAATACAGCGGCAACTCTTATGTTTGTGGGATGGACGGGTCCTATTAACATCTGCTATTTTCTGTTTTACATTTGTTATATTTTGTTTGTAATTGGGATTCATACCCCTTCTTCTCTTTAATATCATTTGTACATAATTATTATTTATGTTTAACGTTGTTATTTTTTATAGATACAAGTTTTAAGCAAATGCTCTGTTTATGATATGTTTATTTAATACTGTTTATCATAAACAGAGCATTTCTTTCATCTGTATCTAAATTTTTAAATCATGGGGACCTCGTCCATTTCTTTTTTTACATAAGAAATTTGTACATAAGAAATTTTTTTAAATCATGGGGTTTAGTGGTCTTGTGGTATATGTAGGAGTAAAAAGGCGAAGGATGTCTTCTTTTGGTAGATGTGTTACTTGTAATGAATTAATGGTTCGTGAATCGGATTAGTTAAGTATAGGATAGTTAATAATGACCAGCCTCAATCCTCTCCCCACTTTTCTGGCCTTGTGCCGCAATTATTGTATTTTACAATAATAAATATTTACGCCATTAGCAAATTGAAAAATAAAGCTTCTGAAACGTTTTTTTTTTTTGCTTATATGGTACATTTTTAAAAAAAATTTTGGGTTTGATGGTGACCGTTTTCAAGAACTAAAACAAATGAATGCCTTTTTCATTACTTTTGAACAAAAGTTTATCGATTTATTAGATAAGAACATAGCGTTACAAAATAGTCAATCTATATCTATAAAACAGAAGATGTGTGTGTGTCTGTCTGTCTGTGTGTGTATGCTATTTTTGCACGTCCACATTTCTCGACCGATTTCGATGAAACTGAACACACATGTTGCAAATTTACCAATATAGGTTAAAACCAACTTTTCAATCTCCAGACACTCCGGGGTTTGACAGAAAAATCGATAAAACTGAAGTTGGGTACAACATTTTGCAAAAACCAAGACAAAATTCCACGCGAACAAAATTTGTACTGGTCAGCTGATGTTCTTTGCACTTAATGCAAAACATCAGCTCATGTTACAAGGTTTTTGTTGTGCTTGATGCTTTTCCTGTAACATTGGCTTCACACAAAAAATTGCAAAAAAAAGTGAAATCGGATTTTTTGTACTACTTAATAAAATCTTGCATAACTTTCTCATTTTTTATCCGATTTTCCTCAAATATGTCGCAAGAAATTTGAAATTATGCAAGAAATAAGAGTCATGCTCACTTTCTCGCGTATAACGGAAAGAAAAAACACGAAAAACTGTTAAGAAACACGTTTTTTGCCATAACTTCCTGGTTTTTCATTCAATACTTTCCAAATTTGCCATGTAAATTACATACGACGCACAAATTGTCTTATATGAATATTTGGTTTAGATTATTTCAGTTCTGCGACAAACTAGGTCCAAAAACAGTTTTTACCATTTAGCCAATAGTTTCTTCATCTGATTCCATCCTAAAATGACATTCTAACAACCTTTGGTGCAAAGATTGTTTGAGAAGGATTATTGAAGCGTTAAAAGGGAAAATTTCTCGAAGAACATTTTTATTAAACCCAGCTTTGCAGCAAACGTGCGAAGAAAGAGCGGGGCGTTCATGCGTTTGTATTTGCAGTTGAAACAATCTCTGGCACTTCATCCCTGTTTTTGTTTGATTATTAGATTTGTGAACAATGCCATACTATTTAATAGTTATTACGGCCATAGGAACTTTAATGAATATTTAAAACATTGAAACAATTTAACCCCGAGCAACGACCACACAAGAAGCATTTATCGATGGAATTCCTTTATTAAGAACAATCAAACACTTGCGATGGACATACGTAAAAAGATGAGTGGGGTGGGGAAAGCTTAGTATACCAACGGATGATGCATGCAAGCAAGGACGCAAACAGGCATTTCTATACAGGGGGTGAGGTTATGCAATTGCAGCCATGTAGATCCGGGCAACGCCAGTAACTCATATATATATAGTATATATATATATATATATATATATATACTGTAAAGCCAGAAATGTTGTCAGTCTGTAGAAGTTTGAAAGAAATGGCATTTAAGCAAGCTGTAATAAAGTGCTCGATATCACAAGCAGAGCATTAATAGGATTGGTACAAATAAAATTAATTTTGATAAATTTTATTTGTAATATTCATATATATATATATATATATATATATATATATTCCTTTAAACGTTATTTTTAGTGAATACCCGTATTTGAGTAGACGCTCCATTTATTTTAAACACTATTTTATTTCGTCTACCGCCTACACATTCGAGTAAACTTATATATATATATATATATATATATATATATATATATATATATATATATATATATATATATATACATAAAGTTAAATCGCGCAATTTGTAAAAAAATATATTTTAAAGAATCATACTTCACTATCTATCCTGTTGTACATCGCCGGCTAATGATCCTACTAATGCATCTATCCTGGGCAACACCGATACACCTCGCCAGCTTCCGATCCTTTAATGTATCTATCCTGGGCAACTACAGTGCACCTAGCCAGCTTCTGATCCTTCTAATTATCTATCCTGGGCAACAACAGTGCCCAGCTTCTGATCCTTCTAATGTATCTATCCTTGGCAACATCGATACACCTCGCCAGTTTCCGATTCTTCTAATGTATCTATCCTGGGCAACAACAGTGCACCTCGCCAGCTTCTTTAAAAATAATTCCTTTTATTTCCGACGTAATTCGTGAGAGTGACATTTGTCGCTGTCGAATGGCGCACCAGTCTGTCGTAATTTTTGTGCTTTCTCATCAGCTTAGTGTCTCCTTTGCTGTTGACAATATCGGAACTTGATTTGAATCAATAAAATCAAAAATGGCGTGGCAAGATATGTGGGCAGGGCAGAAGAAAATGACGATCGTTGCAAAAGACTAGACCGGATGCACTGTATTGTCGACCGGCTTTGTCTCAGCTTAGAGGGCAGACATTGAAATCACATTTCTGCAAATATAATTTGGTTTCTTCTGACGACAACCTATCGTTGCAGATTTATCATATATTATATGGTGCATCTCTTCAGGTCGGTGACGATCATGGTTCTCCCAAACTTCCTTTCTATTATAGCCCTTAGTAAAGTTTGTCTTTTTGCTATATTGTCTAATCCCTGTTCTGCCAAACATTTAAACATGCTCGTCATGATAGAACTGAGACCAACATTTCTTACGCAAAAAAAAAAACGATTACATTTTGCCGGCCATTGTTACGAAGCGGAGAGAAAAATCGTCTCATTCTTGGGCATCCTTCTGGAAGTGACTATTCACGAAAATTGACTGTCACAGACACGATAGCTCGATACTCATGGTTGGACATTGGGTGTCTGGGGAAAAATGATTGTCAATGGAGTTCTGACCAACCGTCTTCTTCTTCTTCTTCTTCTTCTTCTTCTTCTTCTTCTTCTTCTTCTTCTTCTTCTATGTGCCATGTCCCTTCAGAAAGTTTGCAATACTTGCTCTCTACAAATTCCTGTCCTTTTTAGCTCCCAATAAATTTTAACTTTTGATTTTCTTTCCCTTGCTCTGCCATCTATTCACTCAAGCTCGCCAGCTAGGTTATATCATGTTTTCTTCTGTCTTTCATGACTTCATTCCGTCCTGTGAGTATTTAATTTTCAATGCCCCCTTTCCTCATCATTTGCCATACAAATTTAACTTATCACTTCTTTATTTTAAATATTTGTTATTTTGTTGCCATTGTCTCTAGAACTTCGTCGTTCCTCACATGTTCGGTGCATTGTATTCTCAGTATCCTTCTGTAGAACCACATTTCTGTTGCTTCAAGTCTCTCTTTCATCTGTGAGGATAATGTCCAGCAGTCACTGGTATATAGAAGGACAGATATTACGTAACAGTTCATTACTCATTTCTTTATTTCTAAAGAAATTTTCCTGTTTCTTAATACTTTGCTTAGATTTAGGAAAGTACTTTTGCTATCCCAATGCGAATTCGGATTTTAGTGTCGCACATTCTGTCCTCTGTTAAAATACTTCCCAACTATTTAAATTGTTGTACTTTGTAATTCGCATGATGGATTGTTCCTTTTGATGACAACCATGCATTTTGTCTTCTTGCAATTGATAGTCCTTTCTTCACGCTTTTCTTTCACTGCCATCTGATACAATAAAAATAATATTTAAGTGGTGCACGTTGTCCAGTGTACTAACCTCATAGTTTTGCACAAAGCATTCACTTACGCGCAAATACTTTTAGAAAGGGTATGGATTTACTTCTCCCAGCTATGGGTAAATAACAAGATAGACTGGCCCCCATGGAGAAGGAAAGCTCTGAATTGAAACCAACCTAGAGTTAATTGGCATGCGTCAGGATAGCATACCCAAGACACACCACTGCTGCTACGGTTGCAGTATATGTGTGTTACCCTTACCATCCAAAGTGGGTACGGGTCTCGTGATCGTTATATATATATATATATGTGTGTGTGTGTGTGTGTGTGTGTATGTATGTATATAGTGCGATGGATAAATTGTCGTCTAAATTAGCAGTCGTGAAAATAACACATCTTGTTTTAACAGATATATTTACCAAAATTACACAAAAATATCTTGAAATACTAAAGAGTAAAATCTATTTAATAAAACCACCATTGGCTTCAACCACGGCCTTTCAGACGACTTCGGAATCTACCGCAACTCTTCCGGACGGTTTCCTTGTTTAGATTGGTGAATGCTGCCATAATCCTTGCCTTCATCTTTGGTGTTACAAGGAGTTTTGTTGGTCTGTAGTTCAACTGCGCCCCACATATAATAATCAAATGTTTTGCTGTCTGGAGAGTTAGGTGGGTAGATGTAAGGGGTGATATGATCGCAAAAATTGTTTGACAGCCATTACCGGTTTTACCTCCTTGTGTGGCAGGTTTGAGAGTCCTGTTGCCAGACATAGGGTCTTCCAGCAGCCACCTTCTTGATCCAGGGCAGCACTACCTCCCTGAATATGGACCTGATTGACTTAGAGGGATCATTTTCAATCATGGACTTGATCTCAACAAATTCGGGACTTCTTTTCTTATCAGAATGATCAGAATGAGATATCAGAGATACCATACCTTCGTAATCACCATTAGACTCATCCATTTCCGATTACTCTGCATTATCGTCAGATTGACAAACAAAAACTCTAAAATGTTCGTATTGGAACTTCCGGCGCGAAAGCCAAGCAGAATTTCGTCATGGTGCTTTTTTTCTCACAGACGATGTTCAACTGACCCTACTATACTCTACTGTCGACAAAATCAAAAATAAACAATGCGCATTTGCGAAATTAAAAATTTATAAAATGTCGACAATTTACCCATCGCACCCTGTATAGGTTCAACGTTTTAGGTATTATGTTCACATGGCTTTGTTGTCTTTGGTAACCTTCTGGAAATTTCAAACCGAGCGCACTTGAATCAATATAGGAGAGTGGATTTTTATTCCGATGACCTATGTAGACATTAGGCCGAGTAAATCTATATTATAAAGAAAAACTTGACCGCCACATACTGTCTGCATGCGCGTATGTAAAATATATGCCTATGTCTTTGTTGTGCCTGAGTGACATGCATGTATATCTGTATCACTGAAAGTATGCACATGCAAACGCGCACATACACATACACTTTGACTAAGCTGAAAAAAGTCACTGGAATAAAACATTTCCCTTCTACTCAGTCTGGGCAACATCACTACCACCACACTGAACATACACAGAACACACACACTCTACTAAGCTGATAATCGAATCATCCTTGATAATGGCTAAAGGTATAGCCGAAAGCGCTCAGAAATACAAAACATTCGGACAGTTCTTACACACCCTTTGTCCAGAAAAGAAAGCTCTTGTCAGAACACAAGAAAATTTAAATAAAAAGCTCAACCGTAGTACCTTGTCTGTCGTTTTTAATGAAACATGCATAAAGGAAGGATTGCTGCCTAAATATATATATATATATATATATATATATATATATATATATATATATATATATATGTTGAAACTTGACTAATGCATGGAATAATAATACAACACAAAATGTACTTAGAACAAAATGTATTGAAACAAGAAAGTGTACACAATATTTACATATAGTCTTTTGTATATTCCTGGGAAGACCGTTCCTGGAGAATGTGTTGACTTAATCGCAGTCGGGCAGAGTCTCTGGATTGAATCTCTTGATTCCTCTCTTCGTCTTCCCGGTACCAACCATATTTATATAGTCGGTACTCCACTATGCAAATTAGGTGGATCCTACCACAACTATATATATATATATATATATATATATATATATATATATAAATACACATATTGACAAAAACAAAACTGCTCACGGGCACGCACGACCCCTACACAACGTAGGAACTGTGTGTGTGTATGTATATGTATATGTGTGTGTGTGTGTACATATGTGTATACTAATTCCTATATATATATATATATATATATATATATATATATATATATATATTACTTAAACGTTATCTTTTCGTGGATACCCATATTTGAGTAGAATATTTATAGGTAAAAAGTTATCAGTATCAGAGAGCATATGTAAATTTAAGAATGGGACCGGCGAACGAACCTGGTCTCTGGTCGGAGCTACAACGCCAAAACTGAAATCCCACATACCTGCTCAGTTTCATATACACAACGTAAACAAAGCAATTTCTGAAGAATAATGGATTTTTTTTACTTATTAACCCGAATGATTTTATCTTTAAACGTTATTTTATTGAATGCCCATATTTGTTTATCTATTATTTATTTATTTTCGTCGACTGGCCTAAAATAGGCGCTATCTGGCAGGACGCGAACCTGCGTGTCCCCTTAACAGGAAAAACTGCTGTTAGATCCAATGGACTTTAGACCGTCCTGGCCATAGAGTGCGTCTACGATCAAGTAAATTTGATTACTGGCTTATAAACGCAAATCCTTCTCTTTAATAAATAAACGGAGCGTCTACTCAAATACGGGCATCCACTAAGAAAATAAAGTTTAAGGAAAAATATGCCGGATTAATAAATAAAAAGCTCATCAATTATTATATATATATATATGTATATATATATATATATATATATATATATAAAGGACTGGTGTATACATAGTGAATTCCGATAAGCAAAAAATACGATTCTTAAAAGAGTGCTCAATAGAGAGTGGAGCAAATATAATTTATTCGAAAATTATAAAATAAAAATAGCCATTTTGTTTCAATACTTCTGGTGTCTTATCAAGTGATGGCGTTGAATAGAATAATATATATATATATATATATATATATATATATATATATATATGTGTGTGTATATATATATATATTCCTCACCAGTAGCACAACTTTTATGCACAACCCAATCTTACGCAGTAACTGAATATTGTGTTGCGTATGAAATTCCGAGTCTTGCTACCGGTGAGGAAAAAATGTATATTTATTATTAATTTATTGCTCTGTTTTATTACATCGCGCACTTTATTTTATTAACACCAGCACTCAACGTGCAATATATATATATATATATATATATATATATATATATATATATATATATATATATATATATGTGTGTGTGTGTGTGTGTGCGCCATTTTTAATTTGCTAGGATAATTAAAAATGTTTCAGATCATTGATCTAGCAGTTCAATTAGGTTCGATTATGTATGTTCAGTCGAAAATATGTGAAGATTTGCGAGAAG